CAGACTGTGACTGATACCAACTAGAACTGCTACTGCTAATCAATCACATTCGTTAAGTCTTACAGTATAGCACACATTAACGTCGATATTCTGTTTTAATTCATGAATTTTTGAAGTTTCTTCCTAAAAAAGTTGCCGCCGCCGCGCCGCTGCCATAACGGCATTATAAAAATCTTTCTCGTGCCGCGATGATTTCTGAAAAAAATCTGCCACTGCTGCACCGACACCGCCACAGCGGTAACCCCGCCATGGACATCTCTGGAATAAAGCAAGAAGAACTATATCGTGTTTTCACATTTTAATCTCAAGATGATTTTGCTAACAGCTAATTTTTTGTTTTTGTTTTGATATAATGATTAGATTGATGGTATGGATTCAATAAAAGAAATTCCTGTTCGAGTTCATATAACTGGTAATCCAATAAAAACATATTTAAGTACAAATAAAAATGATAAATCATCATCATTACCTATTGTACAATTTGGTTCAATGTTACATAATTCATTACCAATAACAAAAAAAGTTCATATGCAAAATATTTCACATATACCAATACGTATTGATTGGATTATTTATGATATAACAGAAGATACAACAGAAAGTTCAAAACTTATTGAACTTATACCAGTTATTGATAATAATCCATTTGATAGTTTTCTAAGTGAAACAACTATTATGGAAAATAATGATGAGTTAATGTCTCAAACAACTATATCAACAAGTAAGAAACAAAAAATTTTAACAAATTTAGTTTCATTTATTCGTTCGTATATAAAGATTGATAAGTAATAATATGTGTTTTATTTTTGAGAAAGATACTTCTACTTATTAAAAAAAAAACAACCTTGTTCTGTTACTAAAAGTTAGTTTCCAAAAGAGAACCAAATGTTTCAGGTAGCTTAGTGTCTATTAGAGGAATTATTCAAACAGATGTTGTGATACAATCTGATTGTTTTGAACAGTTCTTTCGTTCATTTGATTTGCACTGAGAGCTATTCGATCCTTATTTGAACTACCTATAAATATTGATAGATAACTTTTTGTTCCGAGTTTTACTGATTTGGTTTCTGATGTTCGTACTAGTTCTATCTCTGATATGTTCGTCTGACGAAAGATATAAACTAGAAGAGTATGTTGTTACCTTCATCTTCGGTATTTGATATTGAAAAAAAATGTCGAAAAAAAAATCCATCTTACCAATTTTTTATTATCTTATTAAATCAGAAAACGATAAAATTTTAATAACTATTTTAGAAACAACTTCTGGAGAAGCTTCAGCTCTGTTAGCTCATTCATCGACCAGTATGATTGATGAAAAACCAACACCATTGATTAAACTTTATGTTAAACCTTATCAAGGTAAACGATCTTCTGATACAAATGCTATTTATTCTATTTCATCAACAACAAAAGTAAATTATCTATTTCCTAATTTGTATCAATTATTATTTATTTATATTTATTATTAGATTGTTAAACCAAGAGAACATTTTTATCTTGATATAACTATGACACCACGCAATTGTCCAATAAAAGATCACCCAATGAAATGTAATGCAAGAATGATTGGTGTATTAAGTGTATCAGAAGAAGTAAAACAGAAAAAAAAAACACATTCTTACCGTAATATATTCCTAATATTTCAATTTATAGAGACAAGGTTCACCAAGTCAAGGTTTTCATCGACCTATTTATTATGAACATGAAGAACAAATTCAATTTGAAATGCATGCATCACTTGAAATGCCATCATTACGTGTTGAACTTAATGATGATGATTATAATGTTGATGAGTCTGAAGCACTTTCATTTGCTATTCCTGTTGGTAAGTAAATCTTTTGAAAAACTCTAATCTTTTGATCTTGAATTCAGGTTGATAAAACATTTTTTAATTATTTCTCTTGAAACGAATTTTAATTATTTTATTACCATACTTAGCTGTTTGCTAGAGTACACTATAGATTATATTTCACAAAGATGAAAACAGATTTATACAGAAAAGTAACATATTTAATGTCTATCATGCATATATATATATATATTGATATCATCATTATTTTTGTTAATTTCTCCATAATTCTTTACATTCTCAATACGAATTATCAGCTTATCTAACAAAAGATCATCGTTAATAAGTTGTTCTAATATCTATAAGTGATTATGCTTCTTTTTCTGACTATTTCATCTGAGAGTCGTCATTTTCAACATCATTGCTACTGAATATTTGGTTCGTAAATCAATGTCTATGTCTTCTATAACTATGTGAATAAGAAAAATATAAAAAATATGCCAGAGTCAGAAGTGGAGTCGATCTAGTATTTTAACGGTCAGTACCTAAAGTTCAACGGTTCCACAAAAACTGAAATTGAGAACCGAACCAGCACCTGCCCCATCTCTTTTTGCAGTAATATACAAAAAAATCGAAATAATTCATATGTCACGGGTGCATAAAATTAGTCATCACTTCTATTTGCTAATAGTTGTCGCCTTTACAAATAGGGTTAATTGTAGCTGGCCATGGGTAGAATCCGTTGGGATCCGAGACCAACTCCACGATCTCTAATCGTCACCTTTAATTTTGTTTTTTTTTTTTTTTATTGAGTTTTATTTCATATTAGGTGATATATTATCATTACAACCTAATCTATACAATTGTACATTACCATCATCAACAAAATCTTCATCAAGAGCATCAGCAAAATCAACAACATTATCAAATCGAAATCGTCATGAAATAGTATATACACGTACATTAAATTTATTAAATACACGACAATGTACAATACCATTTGAATTAACTATATCAGATTCATCATTTCTTTCAATTCAACCATCAATATTAACAAGTTTAACATCACAATCAAAAGTTAATGTACAATGTCATTTTCATTTATCATCAGATTTTATTGATCGTTTTCGTTCAGTAAATTTAAATAAAAATGAATCATTATTATCAAAAATTGAAGAAACAATAACAATTGAACATGGACGTCGTCTACATTGGCATGAACAACTATCTATTAAATTTAAACAAAATGAAATGGAACAAATTATACCAATTGATATTCGTTTATATTTTCCAATATTAACTGTTAATTGTGATCATATTGATTTTGGTACATGTTTTCTTGAACAAACAAGACAAAAAGAATTTATTCTAAAAAATTTAACTTGTTCATCATCAGCATGGTCAATACGAAAAGGTAATTTACTAAAAAAAACTATTTTAAAGAGAAATAATAACAATCTATGTTGATGATGGTGAATAAATAAACTATATTGACAAAAATTGACCATGCAAACCAGAACTCCTCTATAATTAAGGTATCGACAATTCAATATTTGAGAAAAATTTATTATAGCTCGATAAAACTTATCCAGTTACCAATAAAAATGATGTTTTTTGAGTGAAACTTTCGAATTTTTCTTTTGACTTCACTCGTCATTGTTTCGATATGATAATAAAATGCCATCAACTCAAAATTATATTCACAATCGTCGTGAAAATCTTCATCAGTATTGTTTTCGAATACGTAGATCTATGTTTCGTCTAAGATCGAAATATGATGGAAACCAGTTTTAAGAATTCAGTATATTATTCGGTACAGATTTTCGTGCTGATTCTGACTATGTTATTCGTTTCTTGTGGAACTGATCATCAAAGTTTTAGAATAAATTCCGAGTGTATAGTCTTTAGCTCTCATATTGTAAGAGTCAATATTTTTCAATAAGAATGCATAGTTTTATCCGAGCTGTATGAGGAATGAAACCAAAACAGAGAAGTTCTGGATGAATATTGAGACTAGATATTTTTGGCGTATTTCAGTTGTTATAGATTTTTCTGATTTTTCCACCTGATTTTCCTAACAATCCAAATGACAATATCTGTTTGAGCTCATATTTTGCTTATAATGTAGATAGGTAAAAATCCTGAAACGGTTCGTGCCATCAATCGTTGCTTTTCGAGTTATGATCATTTTACTAAACTTTCAGTCTAATGCAGAACATCATGAAAAAAATCAGAACTAAGATGTTCAACCTGAAACTCTTCCCAACAATAATTCTTATGATTCTTATAGAATCTTGAAAGTCGTAGCTCAAACGAATGTTTCTCTTCCAAGATAATACGTTTCCAAAAAACGTTACTTTTACACAAGAACTGCATCAAAAATCCAATTTAAATGCATACGATATCTTAAGAAACAATGGTTCTTTTGAGCAGAAACTTTCAGAATGCTATAAGAACTATTCGTGGGAAGAAGTTCAAACCGAAACTACTTATTACAATTTTTCTAGTGATATCTTTCGATAAGCTGAAAGTTCATTAAAATGACCATAACACGAAAAACAAGACCTAACAACACGAACTCTTTCAGAATTTTTATCTATAGTATAAGCAAAAATAGAAGCTCAAATAGAGAATTTCAGCCGAACAGATTTCCTTACTACGAAAACATTGTCTGAACATATCAAAAATACCTCTTGTCAAATTTCGAATTGCTGATATTTTAGTAAAAAAAAAAAAAAGGAGTCGCAAATTCAACTTCTATTAATTAAATTAATCCATCAGTCAAAGCTCGTTCAGAATAACATAAAAGTTTTCTCAATGAATAAATCATTTTAGTTCATGCTAATAGTCCTGATGCTTATGAAGCATTCCGAATTGAACCCAAATGTGGTATATTAACAACTCAATTAAATTCAAAAGATAAATCTGTTCAACAAGTCATATCAATTTATTTTACTGCTCAACATAATCAAACCTATGAATGTCAATTATCAATCGAAGGTCTACTTGGTGAACCACCAATAACAATATTTTTAACAGGGCAAGGTTCATACGATGGAAAATATGAAGCAATTCTTGATATTTAAATCATCAAACAAAGAACTATTTCCTGCTTTTTTTTTTAAATTTTTATTTTTAATCTTTAATAAAAAAAAAACAGAAAATGATCTCAAATTTGTTTTTTTTTTATACATATATAGAAATAAAATGTTCAAGTTTCTTCATATTTTTTCATTGGTATTATACGATTTTTTACTTTTTGTTGAATATGTAATAATGATTGAAGACGACCAGTTGTTTGCTGAAATTTTGTTAAATCTTGAACAAATTGTTCTAATGAATGTTTTGGTTCTTGATGTATCAAATTTAATATATTAATACGTTTATTATTTATACGACGCCATTCATATAATTCGAAACGAACTTTATCAGCAGCATTTTGTAATCGAGGTGAATCTTCGGTTTTTTTAGCTTCAAGATGAGAATAACATTCAATAAGACTTTCAAGTACCATATTTATCCAACGAAATGATTGAGTTTTTGTATCTAAACTAAATATTATAATTGAATTATAATGAAAAAAAATTTACCTAATGATTCAGCAATATTTTGAAATGATATTAATGCTTGTTCATAATTTTGTTGTTGTTTATAAAGTAAACCTAAACTTGCATTTGTTACAAGATAATGAAAACTATTTGGTGGTAAGCAAAGTTTATAGATTTGTAAGCATATATTTAATTCTCGTTCAGCTTCATTATACCTAGATAAAACAAAAAAAAACAGCTTTGAATTAATAAACAGAATAAACAACAGAAATTAAAATTAATTCACATTTTTTTACTAAGATATGTTGCTGATTGTAATCGATGTACTTGTGCTACTTTAAAGCTCATTGAGCCAAATATATCTTGTGCAATCGAAAGACAATCATTAAGTAATTCCATAGCATCTTCAAAATAAGTATTGTTTTTGTCAGATAAATTAATTGAAATATGTGCTTGTAACGCATGAGCTAAACTCATTTTAAATGGAAATAAACGTATACGATCTTCAACACCAAACCAATCTTGAGCAATACGAAATGCTTCATGAGCATGATAAAGGTATTCAGATGATGATAAATCTTTTGTTGTTATATTCGGATAATAATTAAAATTATCGTCAAATAGTGGATCTTGAATTTTACGACGAGAATTAGCTATTGAAGCAAGATTTATTAAACTTTTGGATAAAGCTCGATGACAGTGTGCAACAGTTAGTGATTCATATCCGTAAACAATTCGAGCACGATCAAGTGTATACTAAAATTTATGTTATAGTTAGATTTCGAACAGTTGGTAAAGAAACTAAAGTACAAGGAATGATCAGTACGAATAAGAATTCCATTAGTTGAGTACTATTGATGTAGATAAGTATTCTTACACTATACTATTGAACAAGAAAAAAGGAATAGTGAATTATTATTTGTATTAATCTCTGACAAAATAAATCAATAATAAGTGAAAATAAGATTTAATAAAATTTTGTTCGTCTTCAATGTTCACATACATGTAGTTTAATTACATGCAGTATCACATTATATAAACAATAGAAATGTTCTCGAGTTAATTTTTAATATTATTTTAACATTACTGAGAATTGTCGCCATATTGAAATATTTATGTTGTGCATTAAACTTGTTCAACCCTAGTCTTTTAGTGTTAAAATCACAATCAGATAAGTTTACTAATATTGATCACTTTTTCAAAAGACTATTGAAGGTTCCGATTAGTTCGATAGACATTAATATTACCGATCTAATAGAATTGTAATTCAAACAGAATATTCCGTACATGACTTTCATCAATCTCTATATGGGAATATCAGTGTTACCTAGCACTCAAAGTTTTGAAGATATACTGAAATAACTACATTCAAAAGTATTCACAGGTATATTAACGAACAAAAGTTTAGAACAACTGTATTTTTAAGTTCTCTTCTCGATAGCATCAGCTAGTAAGCATCTGAAAACTACTTGTGCAGCTGGAAGAATTCTTAATAGTTTATCAAAGCTTCTAGGATGAAGCTTTGCAAAAAAAATTGTAGTTGATGAACAAATGATTCTGAGCAAAATGAGAAGTCTTCAAACTCTTCATGGCCTTTCTTCATTGAATTTCATTCAATTTATAGAAGGTCCTGGAGCGTCAAACATGGCAACAGCATATCGACATTTTCAATACAAAGAAGAAAAAATGCTCCTTGGGGCTTCTGCAAATTGAATGCAGTTCGATGAAAGAAAATCATTGACAGATTGGGGACGTCTCGTTTGGCTCAGAATTATTTGTTCTATCAAATAAAATCTTTTCCCATAAGTTTTAAATAAAAATCAGAAAGCTGATTTCGAGGAAACGTTTGTTTTGCACTATCTTGATTAATATTTTTATCGAGAAGAAAACTTGAACACACAACTACTCTAAACTTATATCTGTTGCTATAAGTCTTTCATTTATTCGAGGTTTTGTTCTCATTGTGTCTTATTTGTTATCTATTTATTTCAGTATTTTCTTGCCTTTGTTACATACATAGTTTCCGATATCATTTCATTTATGTAAAAGGATAGATTGATTTATTATACCTGTGCTAATTCAACAGAACTTTGATCTTGTATAAATTCATTTGAATATTGCACTAATTGTTGAAGTGCATGAATATATTTCGGACTATTTCTACCACAATATTTCCTATCATAAACAGAAAAAAAATAGAACATCAATCTACATTAAGTTTGATGAATAAAACTTTACGCAGCATATTGTACAGTCATAAGAGCTGTTGCTTGTGCTTTATTCATAATCCATTTTGATGTCAAACCATGTGTAAGTGAACAAAGTAAATCAATAATTAATGAATGATTATTTTTATCAACTAATTTAAGACCTCTATTTATCAATGACAAATAGTAATCAATAATAAAATATCAAAAAAGAAAAAGTTACTTATAACTATATTGTATACAAGCATCAAAATTTGCATCTTCGTAAGCTGTTTGAGATATTACAGAATAAAACCAAGCATATTCATTATTAGGAATTTCTGTTATCAAAAAAAAACGATATTAATTTCGATTGGAAAATAAATTTTATGTCTTTTTCGATTACCTATTCCAGTTGTTTTAAGAGTATCAGCAATTTCATTAGCTGCTTCAATTCTTGCCCATGCTTGTTGTATTTGAAAACTTTGATTATGTGTTTGTACAAGTGCACAACATCCACGAAATAAATATGTCCAAATAATAGATTTTTGATTATGTTGTTTAACTAATTTTGTTAATGATTGTACAATAGATTCAATTATTTGTTGACATAATTCATATCGTCCATAATTATATAAAAATTGATTTAATAAAAAACCTTTTTCAACAATATTTAATATATTATTTTGTGTATTAAGTGAATCTTTTAATGCATAAACAAATTTTTGATCATAATGTATACCATAAATAGATGAAAGTGAAAAGAAATATTTATAAAAATGATGTTGATGTAGTGTATCATCAAGAAGTAAATCAATTATTTCTGTATCAAATATATTTTGATTTGATAAAGATTTTTCTTGTTTTATTAAATTAATTAATAATTCAATACGACACATGTTATCAAAAACTTTTTGTTCAGTATAAAGTTGTTCATGATCATAAGCATTAGTAGAATGCGAGAGTTGATCAAATAAATGTTCAGGAATCTAAACAGGAAAATAAATAAAAGAATAATTTTTCTTTTTACAAAATTTAAAGAAAGATTATATTGTAAACTGACATAGTATCAAAATTGTTTTCTCGTAAATAACATTTTTGTGGATCCAGATCTGAGTTTTTTTTCACCAATTTCCGGAACTCTCTGTGTACACGAATAAGTGAAGGATCAATGTTTTGCCTATTTATTCGCTATTCTTAGGTAATTGAACAGAACATTATGTTAACAAAAAAGAAAGTTAAATAATAGTAATATCAAAACCTGTACCTGCATGAAATAGCTTTAGTTGTATTTAGATAAACTAGATCAAACAGGAATATGTTCTAAGTAATCGATGTAAGAAGCTATGGATCCACGTTTTGTTGGTCTTAACTTGGACTCTGCTGAGCTCCAGCCACCTTCTGAGACAGACATCTAAGCAAAGAGTGATCAAAGACCGTGACAAATATTGTTGATATACTATTATCAACCATTTATCACAAACGTCTCATTATAATATATGAATTACTTCATTTTTGCATTTGTGCCTGTGATTAGCAAGAGCAACTACATTGTATTTCACATTTTAATCACGCAAGAATTGTGCTAACAGTTTTTATCAATTATATTGGGAAAAAATGAAGCTTTGTGAAGATGAAAAGCTTTACATGTGTATAGATACGGCGTGCCATTCGATTTACTTCTAAGAGCAATTCTGAATTACTGAATATATTAATAATTAATAAATCTAATCGAAATAATGGCTTTCAAAGAAAACAAACTGTTTTATTTCTCAGCTAGTATGTTTTTAGTTGGGCTTTTTTGACAATATTAATTTAAATTTATGTTATGAGAGAAGGAAAAAAAAATTTGTTTTTTTTTCTTGATAAAATAATCGTAATTTAAAACATACTTGTGAATGATAAGTAAGATTGTCGATAACTTTTTGAAAACTACCTTCAATTACAACTTTATTCATAACATATCGATCGAATTCAATATTTTTTATATGATGTTGGTAATTATTGATCGTAGTTAAATTTTTCTTTGGTTCATTATTTTGTTGTTGTTGAGTTTTCTGAATTGAATCTTGATTAATACCATCTTGATGTTCATTTACTTGACTAACATTTGATCTATTTGTAAATAAGTATGATTTAGAATGCGTCAAATTTGGTGCTCGAATTATTGTATTATCAAGCGCAGTTACAAGATCATTATAGACAGATTGATTTTCTAGAAGAATACTGCGAAATAATAAAAACCAGTTAGCTGGACGGTTAGCATGGTCAGGATGTTTTTTAAGAAGACTATCAATTAAACGACGTGCACGATCAATTCTTGATGTACCTTGATTAATATATTGTACATCATGATCAGGAGAAATAATATGAGCACGAATAAGTTTAGGTATGAGTTCTTGAGTATCAATTTGTTGAATTAATGCTATACGATTGACACGTAGACGGGTTGCATTAGCATTGTCCCGATCCATTTTTTTCAGGTATGTGAAGGTGTGCACACACGTACCTTTTTTTTCTCTTTTGACGACGTGTGAAAATTTTTATGTTATTTCATGGCAGTGGTGGCGGTAGCTAATAGCTGTGATGACAATGCAGGAAAGTGAAAAGAAACTTCCTTTGTTTTGAAGCAAAATACCTGTTCGATGTCGTTCATGTTTTCTTTTAAGTTCTCAATTACATATAATGGAAAAAATGTCAGATAAAGAACGAAGAGAGAAAAAAAGAGTAACAAAACTTATTTTATTTGTTGCGCTTGTTAAATAATTTGTATGGCAAGTTAAAAAGAAAATGAAAAGAATTAATAAAATATTGCAGAAGTTATTGACTAATGATTAATTTGATTATTTTGACTCTGTTTGAACTAAACTAGTTGAAATCGTTTTTTTTCTGGTGATGAAAGAAGTTTGCAAGTTATGTTCAAAGATAACTCTAAGAAAGAGTTTTATGTGGATCAAATTCCATACAAGAATTCGATAAGAAGATTTTATTGAAATGTAGAGTGCGATCGTGTAGAACAGATGAGTTGGAGTTTAACGGACTTTTCAAACGCTGAGTTTTCTTGACTCGAAGTCTCTTTATATGTCTGGAAGTTTTCCAAACTTTTTAGTGGGCCGATCCTACAGAAATTAATTCAATATCTCAAGTAATACTCAAGAAGGACGTAAAGCCTTTGGAAATTGTTCAAGTCAAGTATTCTTCTACTACCAGGTAAGCTATGAATTCAAGTATTTCAGTCAAGGTTGATCGCTTCAATTGTTATGTGTGAGTTTCTCTGATAACTAGTGTCCTGTGTGGGCATGAATTTTCGCAACCGGACTCCCCGAAGTTGACCAACATCAGGCAGATACTTTCACAACTGCAGTACAGTTTTCAAATTTTTATTTTATATAAAAAAGTGTACTATTTAGTTTTTTTTATATATAGAAACAACAAAAAAGAGATCATCTCAAATTCTACAAAAAGTAAGCGAATGATTTAGTGTCTTCCTCCTTCTTAAATCTGATCAGTTTCGTTAAGTTTATGTTTGCCGGCCGCTGATGACGCTGCCACTAAGAGTAGTGTTTTGCTGCTAAACATCTTATTGGTGGATACATATATGAATTCATTGTCCATTATACTAATACACATTCACTTTTTTTTCATTAAAAACGTGTTCTTTTAGTAAAACAATTTCGTTTTTCATTTCTGTGATCTGTTCTCAAGTAGAATCAATTACTCAATCACGATCGAAACGGTTTTCATTCCGATGCTTTTATATAAATAAGCAGTTTGAAATAGTAAAAATATTTCGTAACCTTGAGATCTCATTAATTGTTGAGTCGGGTTCAGCTATGAGAAGATACCTGGCAAGTTTGCATTCGTTTCAGTTTCAGGACACTACTCATAATAATACAAACTTGAAAATCTGTTCGATCGCCAGATATAAATTTAGCGTTTTCCTTTTTCATTAAACTTCTCGATTTCTTTGTTTAATGTCAACAGACATTCTACAAAATACGGTTGCAATAGAAATCTAGAAGTAGTTCGAAAATTGTAGAAGATATTTTATTTTCAATTGATTTTCCATTTAGGTATTCTTACTAGTTTAGGTCGACGAAAAATGACATGAATAAAAGCTAACTGTTAACAAGAATGGAGAATTTCTTTCCAAAATCCATCAACAGCATAAAACCTAAAATCTACAGAACCTCTTGACATTAGATGAGTATTATGACCATATGAAATATCAGTCATACGTTCTATTTTAACTTGCTTATCAATTTCAAGCATAGCTGAATGAACACATCCATCACCAATATGTTCTCGAAGCATTAAATTATCTCGAATCAATTCATGAACAAAACTTTAAACTCGTTTGGATTCATAATACCATTTCAAACGAATAACAAAGAAATTATTATAAATACAACCACGTTGAAGACTATTTTTATTGAGAAAACGTTGCAGGATTGGATGCATCGAGTCGAATGATTCCTCATATGAAGATCTATAAATATAATCTATTTTTTTACAATCCATATAAACAAATATATCCTTTTCGATTATGTACATAAAGTATGAATCATCATCCATTCTCATTAGATAATCATAATTGCCTTGAATAATTGCTGGATGATAAAAGACATCATATGTCCAAAATTGACACATTAAACAATATCCAATCGGTTTATCTAATTGTGATTTACTAGAAGGTTCTACTGATGTTTGAAAATTAGCTAGTGCAAATGAAATGTTTATTTTTCTATTGTTTTGAAGTACACAAGATAATATTTGTTGACGCATGTCTGAAGTAAAATTTTCATCATGAAATATAATAAATGGATATAGAGAACCATTCTTTGTTAGATAAAAGTGAATAACAGAATGTATCATATTAATTGTAAGAAATATGGATTGATTTGTACTACGAATCATAGTCACAATTACTCCTCGAACATGACTATTGGAGGAAACATTAGTAATAGGAACTTCAGATTATTCATAACGAAAAGTAACAAAAAACTAGAAAAATAATACTGAACGAAATAATTAATAAAACTATTGTCAAATATCGATGTATTCGACGAGTCATAAATATTTCTGTTTATTGAATAAAAAATAAATTTCGTGTTTATTCTTGTATCAGAATTTCATTCTAAAACTAATCGAAGACATATATTCTTCTTGAACAATCCCTCACTGTAATCCATTAAATAATTGTGCTAAATCTAAAGTATATTGCTTTAATAGATCATCGATAAACAAGTTAGAATGTTAGTTATAATCATTTGATATTAGGTGATTTTATATGAAGTGTACTTCTGATAATAAATCAAAGAAAACAAAACAGACAAGTGCAGATGCTTGTTATAAACTCATAAATGTCGTATAAAAGAATATCGTTTATTTCAAGTTATCAATTTGGAGTTAATAGACGAAGAAAAAGATCTGTTGATTTGCGAAAGAAAAGCGAATAGATTGAATACTGTGTCTTCTTGATAGAGGAAATTTTTATTTTATTAAATGGAGAAAAGTGTCTACAAAGTAGAATCGAGGTGGAAGAGAGGTCGAATGGCTCCATTGTAGAAACATGCTAAAGTAGATATAGCAAGAGGATCAGTGTGTAGGTATCTTGATTTAAGAGAAATGAATACAGCATTTTGAAATATTATTGAGGAAATTCATCATGTACACCATAATATTGTAAGGTTTTCCGCTAATTATCAGTTGCTTCTCCCTACGTGTATACGTAAGCCGAAAGATAATTAGTAAATCCTTGATCTGCATCTACCTAGAAATTTCACTTTAGTACGTCTTATCTTTATCTTGATTATTAATAACACAGGGATGCAAGCATAGGTTTAAAATGCATCAATTAGTTTATTGAAAATATACATATGGTAAGATAATAATCAAGATAATAATGACAATACTGGGCAGAAAAAAGGTATATATGAATGAAGAGAAGATAGGAAAACTAGCAGAGTGGAAAAACAACGTAGGAAAAAAATTTATATACATATATATATATCTCACAAGAGGAACGATGACTATAGATAACATGAAAGACGAAGATAAAAGTCAATGAACGAAGAATAGTGAACATAAAACGTAAGCGGCAACATAGTGTCATCTGTTGACGCTAACACGTTTCCCCTTCGACAGAAAATATTCATCCGGAACTCCTACCAATATGAATGAGTAAGTTGGAAGAAGACTATTTTGATCTAAGATATTGGTGCAAAAAACTGAACAACAAATATGAGAGTATGAGAAAAGAGGGACAAAAAACCACAATTCATTGCGTAGCAAAGGAAAGAAAAATTTCAAATCTGTGAATATTAATGGCATGCAAAAGAGAACAAAAGACTCTTATGAAAAAAAATTGGGTGAAAGTATCTTAAGAAAATCTATCAGTTAACAATGTGTCATCAGCTGATTTAAGATCAGCAGTATTGTTAAAGTATATACGAATACGATAATGATAACTAGGATGTAAACGAGTATATTTAAGTAGGGTTTTTTGACAAAAACCTTTATAATTTTTCAAGATCCATAATGGACTTACTGTTCAAGAAATAAACAACCGTTTCTGCCGCAGAAGTATATTGTCATACCGCCGTTTGTTTCGATGTTTTCGAACTGCAAGTGATCGATTATTAGATGTAGGTAATTTTAGTATTTTTGGAGATATTAAATGATTAAAATAATTAATAATAGAGTTATTAATAAAATCACGATATTGATGATCAACATGTATGTAGTCCGAACTTCAGTAGTGATTCATTATTTGGAAATTAATTACACTAAATTCAATATACTTGGATAAATCAAATAGACTTTCATTTTTCTGCTAATTTAGAACAAACTACATTGAAGCCGTTCTCCAAAAGCTTTCCAAGTTTTACAACTATTATCAAGACCACATGACTAAAGATTCTAGGTCATCGACTTGTCAAAGACCTGATTAAATAAATATTCTTTGACCTTTTGTAAGATCCATTTAGGATTATTAATTTTGTACCGATGAGTACTGCTCGAACATATACAACGATGATGATCATTTTTGAACTTTGACCATTGAATATCATTATTAAGATCATCTGAATCTACATAACTAATTAAATAATCTTTAAATGCTAAACTAGGTGACCTTGATGAATTATAATGAAGACAGAGATGGGTATGAAGACGTTCTTCATTTCATTGATTTCTAAAATATTGTTTATGGTTAAAGGTGTTGGTAATTTTAGAAAGATCGAAGTTCTTCGACTATCTCTCACCAGTCCATGATCATGTTATCAGGATAAAATATAAGATTACACAACTGTTGAATCGATTTAAATAATGATGTAGAATGATGAGGTAGAAATTAAAGTTATATTAAGTATTGCTTGTATTTTGAATAAGCGATGATAAACCTTTAGGATGGTTTTCGTTGGCCTACCTGATACAGTATCAACTACATAGAACTTAATATCGACAAATTTTTGTATAAGAGATGTAATAACTGACTCAGGAGTATAATAATGTCTATGTATTTGTATCATAATACTGGATAGGCCAATGAGAAAATGGTCGACTGAATATTAATTACTGATTTAATTGAGCCTTTCTTCTCGCTTTCAGCTAGTTAGTTCTTTAGCATCTACCAGGTGACTTTGACATGTTTTTTCATTAAGATTTAGAAAACTTTGATGAGGATTAGATTGTGGTTGATTGCATGAATAATATGAATTTTTACTTATAGTTCGTTCACTTTTGAAACTGCTGTCTTTCAGTAAAACTGGAGGCTACAAAAGTGAACCTGATGAAGTATTTGATTGATGTATAGATTGTTGAGTATGAATAAATGCAAGCAATATTGATGGAGGAAGACGGACATCTCTTTCATTCAAGAACTGTTACCTTCTAGTAGAACTGGAGACTGCAAGAGTAAATTCGATGAGATGGTAAATTATGATGATGAAGAATGAAAATAATGTGATGTAGAAGGACGAGAAAAATTATACATGTATAAATGAAGATATTTTATGCATAAGAGTTATGGTAAAATAACTTAATATGTTAGCTGTTGAAATGCAAAAAAAAATTGTTAATATTAAATCATTCTATTCTATTCATTGTTTCTTTCAGCACTTAATCTTGTTATGGTTTCCTGTTAGACTGGTAATGTATTTCTACAGCACTATAGCAACACATTATTACGACAAAAAAAAATTCGTATTTCATCAACAGACCTTTGATCTCAGTCAGAATAGTCATTAGTAGTTTCTATTATATCCTAAACTTTAATGGTAGTTAAAATTGAGAAATGATGATACATGATAAAAAAAAGGATGATAGTTATGACTAATGTGTTGCTGTTGATATGGTTACAATGAATTAATGAAGTTATGTAGTTTATCATAACAACAGCAATACAGATTCTAATCAATAATTACAGGCCACAAGTCACTAACATTTACTTGTGACTCTATTTTTGTTTCTTGATCTTGAACCATATAAATAGGATGGTAAGCATTAATGATAACTCTAGGTGGTGACCAGAATAAAGGATTTAATTTTTCTTTAATACTATAGATTTTTGTTAAGACTTTATCAGAATATAATGTGCATCTTAACGGTGTTTATCATAATATATTTTATCCTTCGTTTATTGTAGTATTATGTTGTTTTTTTGCGTATTCACGGTAAATTTTCAATGTTTTCTTTCATTGTTGAAAATAATTATTCGGTTTCATAAATGAATAATAGGATAGTTTTGCGTGACAAGGAAGATCAGGTAGACGTCCATAAAGTAATTCATACGGTGAATATTTTGTTGTTTTATGAACCTCGGAATTATAAGCAAAGACCACCGCTTGTAGATATTCATTCCAATTATTATTTTCGGAATCTTGTAATTTGAATATTTTGGAGAATAAAGGTACTATTAAATCTTTCCTCAATACCATTTGTTTGTGGATGATACAGCGTACTATAAATATGATTATATCCAATCAATAAACACATGTTTTCCATAAGTTAATTTTTAAAGTGTGGTCTTTGGTCACTTATAGTTAAAGTAGGAATCCTATATTTACAAAAAGAATTCATTAAATAAAGCTTCAGGTATTGTTCTTGCTGTACAGTTTTGTAAGGCTATAGCTGTTATGTGTCGGGTGAAGTAACCACTTATTATTAAAACATATTGGTTTTCACGCGGTGTCTTTTAAGAGGACTACAATAATGTACGCCTATAATTTGGAAAGGACCATCAGGTATTGGAATTGAACGAATTTGACCATACTTTTTCTGTCGGCTGATAATATATTGCTGATATAAAAGACCAGATTTAATATATTGTTTAATAGAATATTTCATGCTTGGCCACCAATCATGACATTTTAGTTCATGCGCAGTGCGGTCGATAGAAGAAATATCTCGTGTCATAGGATCATTATGACACACATAAAGAAATGCTTTAAGATGGTATACGAGTATTCGACAGATGATCTGTACTTGTATATTAGAAACTGAATTATTATCATAAGATGTATCATTATAAATAGATTTGGTTGCTGCTCCAAGTACCCTTCTATTTTTTCTTGAGCTTAAAACTATACTTGCTAAAAGCTTACCTGTTGAAGATGTTACTTGTTCAATTTCACGTTTATTATTAAGTCCATAGTATATATCTAATAAATCATTGTCTTGTTTATGTGAATATATAGATCAATAATCTGGTAAACAAGTTCGGTGACCACTACTATGAATTGTTCAATATTATATTCTTGAATTCAATTAGCAATTCTATCTAC